AAAAAAAAAAAAAAACCCAAACCCACTCAAATTCCAACTCATAGTGACCCCCATTGGGTCTCCAAGGCTGTATGTAAATCATTATGGAAGTAGATTGCCTCATCTTCCTCCCACAAAACAGCTGATGGGTTTGAACGGCTGACCTTCTGATTAGCAGTCAAATGCCTTACCAATTACACCACCAGAGCTAAAGTGAGTAGAAGAAATGATGAAGTAGAAGAGCTGAAAAGAAGATTTCAAGAAGACAAAGCAAATTATTATAATGAAACATGCAAAGACCAAGAGGCAGTCTTTTGAATACTGCAAGGAGATAATGCATGGTTTAAAATCAAGAAAGGTGTATGTCAGGGCTGTATCTTTACACCATACTTATTCCATCTATATGCTGAGCAAATAATCTGAGAATTGGACTACATGAAGAAGAATGTGGCGTCAGGATTGGAGGAAGACTCATTAACAACCTGCAATATGCAGATGACACAACTTTACGTGCTGAAAGTAAATAAGACTTGAAACACTTATTAATGAAGGTCAGAGACTACAGCCTTCAATATGAATTACACCTCAACATAAAGAAAACAAAAATCCTCACAACTGGACCAATAAGCAGCAACATGATAAATGGAGAAAAGATTGAAGTTGTCAGGGATTTCATTTTACTTGGATCCACAATCAATGCCCATGGAAGCAGCAGTCAAGAAATCAAATGATGTATTGCATTGAGCAGATATGCTGCAAGAGAACTCTTTAAAGTTTCAAAAGGCAAAGATGTCACTTTGAAGACGAAGGTGCACCTGACCTAAGCCATGGTATTTTCAATAGCCTCATAGGCATGTGAAAGCTGGACAGTGAATAAGGAAGACTGCAGAAGAACTGATGCATTTGAGTTGCAGCGATGGTGAATATTTAACATACCATGGACTGCCAGAGTAGAACAAATAGAACAAATCTGTCCTGGAAAAGTGCAGCTCCAAGTGCTCCTTGGAGGCGAGAGCGGCCAGACTTTGTTTCACCTACTTTGGTCATGTTGTCCCTGGAGACGGATATGCTCTGTAAAGGAGAAGGTCAGCAAAAATGGGGAAGATTCCCAAAGAGATGGACTGACACAGCAGCTGCCACAGTGGGTCCCACCATAGCCATGACTGTGAAGATGGTGCGGGACCGGGCAGCTGTTCATTCTGTTGCACACAGAGTGCCTTGGAGTTGGAACCGGCTCAGTGCACCTAACGACAACAACATAGAACATGATTGAATCTGGGGCCTTTTTACCTCTAGCACGGATTCTGTACTCCTCGCTGTATGAGAGCTTAAATTCTAAAGCATTTGGTTTGTGGAAGGCTGAGGTCGACTGTAGGAACCCTAACTCCATTTGAATCAGATGCTATTTGAATTCTTTATGTTACATCCCCAATGCTTGCTGCCCATTAAACCAGCAATGTGGCTATTCTTAGACAAGTCCAGGGCAAGCCCAGGGAGGGACAGTTTGCCCACAGGAAGAAGGTAGTTGAAAGCAGAATATGCAGAAAGGTACTCACACAGAGAACCAGGGACCT